CCTTCAACCAAAATACCGGCATCTGGGCATTGGCACTGGCAACTTCATGACATGCTATCTTAGCCATATCACTCTACTTACGGCAGGATAAGTGTAACAGTCAAATGAGATCTTGTAAGTGAAAACACTGCAGAACCTACAACATGCTCTACAAATGTCAATGATGTGTAATAAAAATTAATCTCGTGCAACCCTCCTTCAGGTGCCCTCCCACTTGGGAGCTTTTTTGACTTCTTAATAAACTCCTGCTTTCTCACCAAAAAAAAAGCCACAAAACTAATCTCATCATTCAAGACCTGGATCCAGGGCCACCTCCTCCAAAAAGGGGGCCCCAGCTCTCCCCCACCCCCACATCTCCCTTGTACTTCATCTACTGCCCCAACTCCAGTGTAAGCTCTGTGAGGGCAGAGACTCTGTCTTGTTCACTGCTCTAACTGCAGCATCTAGGATTAGTACCTGGCACATCGAACAAATACAGTAAACAAGAGTTAAAATATACTGCTGAACTCCAGGATCTCTCCCTATTCTCAGGCCTTCAGGAAATGAAGGACTGAAAGGTGACGTAAGGATGACCCACAGCACCCACACTCCAGAGGAGAAATGGCTTGCCTGAGACACACATCAACTCAATGGCAGAGCCGAGATTGCAACCTTCATCTCTTGTCTCCCAAGCCTGAGAACTTTCCATAGGGGACTCCACCTCCAGGCCCTACATCTTCCCCGCTATGGGCAGCAGCAAAGGAAAATAGCAACCCTTTCTTCTCCAACCAAAATACTGGCATCTGGGCATTGGCACCAGCAACTTAATGATATGCTATCTTGTAAAGACGCACTGGGGTGATTAGCACCATAGTTCTGTGTATGTTGCTTTTCATCACCCCAACGAACCCAGAAACTTCCTGGTGGCAAAGACCTCATTGAATTCACCTTCTATATCATCTACAGGACCTCACGCAGGACTGAGCATGGGTAGCAGTAGAAGACAAAGGTGAGGATGAACACTCACGTCAGACAGACCTGGCACAACTCCAACCCTGTCCCCATCACCCTTGCAACCCAGACCAGAGTGATAATAGGCCTGAGGTCCTAGGATTACATGGGATAACATATGCAAAGCATTTCACACAATGGCTGGCACATGGTAACCATGTAGTAGGTACAAGTTGCAGTTGTAATAGTAATGGCTAGCCGGGCACGGTGGCTCATGCCTATAATCCCAGCACTTTGGGAGGCTGAGGTGAAAGAACTGCCTGGGCCCACTGGCTCCAGACCAGCCTGAGCAACTTGGTGAGACCCCATCTCTACAATAAATCAAAAAATTAGCCAGGTGTGGTGGCTCGTGCCTATAATTCCAACTACTTGGAAGGCTTAGGCAGAAGGATCACCTGAGCCCAGCAGGTCCAGGCTGTGGTGGCCGTGAGCATGCCACTGCACTCCAGCCTGGGTGACAGAGTGAGAGACTCCTACTCCAAAAAAAAAAAAAAAAAAGCCGGGTCAGTGGCTCAGCCTGTAATCCCGCGCCTTTGGGAGGCTGAGGTGAGTGGATTGCCTGAGCCCGCGGGTTCGAGACCCGCCTGGGCAACTTGGTGAGACCTCATCTCTACAATAAATCAAAAATTAGCCGGGCGTGGTAGCACACACCTGTAGTTCCAGCTACTTGGAAGGCTGAGGCGGAGGGATTGCTGGAGCCCAGCAGGTCGAGGCTGCGGTGGCCGGGAGCGGCCACTGCACTCCAGTCTGGGTGACAGAGTGAGACTCCAACTCAAAAAAAAAAAAAAAAAGTAATAGCACCACAATAGTAAGAAAGGCTCAATGAACACCAGCTACCAGGTGGCTTAAAGAGGCAAAGAGTAGACACCTGGGCCCCAAAATTCCACACTTATTAGTGCCTTTTAGATAATTAAGATACCATATCAGGAGTCTCCTTTTATTTTATTTTTTTTAGTCGGGGTCTCACTCTATCACCCAGGCTGGAGTGCAGTAGCATGATCACAATGATTATGGCTCATGGCAGCCTCAACTTCCTAAACTCAGACAATCCTTCCACCTCAGCTTCAAAGGCACACACCAACACACCCAGCTAAATTTTTGTAGAGACGAGGTTTCACTATGTTGCTCATGCTGGTCTCGGGGGCCTCCTTTACTCCATAAAACTAAGATTTTCAATGACCAAAGTTTCCATTGCCTCTCCCCACAGGGACAAACCAAAATCCTGTTTTGTTTGAGCAAACTAAAATCCCCAGACCAAACTCCCCCCTCTGCAGAGCTTCCCTTTGGGTCTGGCCCTGTCCCCAGTCCCAGGAGAGCAGGGTCAGGCATTCCACACGTCCTAAAGGCCGCCTCATGACAGCCTTCTTACCTGGCCCCCTTTAGTGTGTTCATTCACTCAATCAACGAGCACGTGTTTATCACATGCTGAACACTGGATCCAACAGTAAACCAGAGGAGCTCCCCACCCTCAAGGCCTTCCCAGTCCCAGGAGTCCTCTAGCTTCTCTTTCTTCACCAGAGACTACCTGTGCAGGTTTCCATAAGACGCCTGGCTCATTCACAGCAGTAATGGCAGGGGCACCAGAGGCATTAACTGCAGGGTTAGAATCCCGGCTCTGCCACCTTCTTATTATGTAACTGTAGGCAAATTTCTTCCCCCTCAGCCTCACCTACCTCACCTTTAGAAAGAGGACAATTATACCTACCCATTAGACTAGTCAAAATGAAATGAAAACCCCAACGAACTGTGCTTGGCACACCATAATACATGTCCACTAATACCATTTTACAACTTAACCAAAATATCCATTCTCAAATCTAGAGTAGCCATTCGGCTGTTCACACAACAAAGAACCAACCCAAACACTGCAGAAATGAAATGCTCTGAACTACTGCTGTGTCACAGCAAGGCCATTCCTTGTTGGGCATATGCCAGGCTAGCTGCCCTACCGCTTCCTGGGAAAATATGGAGAATCCCCAGCAGTGGGTCGCAGATGGTTCTATTCAGTAATACAAATGCGAAGAAGCTTCTCACACAGGGCATCCTGAGAGCTCAGCTGGCAGGAAGGGGCAGGAGCCTGCCCTAGGCAGGTGGAACCTGCCACCAAAGTGGACTCCAGAGAGCCCACAAGGTAACCCGTAGCACAGTAGCCACAGCTAGGGCAGGTTTGCTGCCCAACGGACAATCAAATCAAGGGTAGGTCAGAGTGAGGGAGATCCTGACAACTGGAAACATTTAAGATCCAAGACTGTGACACTGCCGCCCTGGGTGATCTGTCACTGACAGCTAGACTCTCAGTCTGTGACCCAGAGTATGAAGAAGGATCCAGCTCTCAGGAGAGGCAGCTGGCAAGCGAATGTGGGTCAAAAACAGCCCTAGTAGGGAAGCATGGCAAGAAGCAGGTAAATCAAGACAAAAATTCACTCATAGGGCTCGCACTAACAGGCAGGTGAGCAGGAGAAGGCATGCAAAGGAGGAATAACAGAAAGGGAATTGTAAGACCCAGAGTCTGCCAGTCATCCAGGGCTCATCCCTGGTATACCAAAAGCTAAATCTAATGGCAATGAAGGCTTCACTCCAAGCTCCACTATCAGTAGAAAAAGGGTGCCTCAAATGCTACTTTCTTTCACAATGGATTTGTTGACCCCGCTGTGGGTGCCTGTGCAAAGACAGGAAAGATAATATCACAGAGCCAGAAGGCAAACCAGGACCAGCACACGGAGAGAGGCAAGCCTAGCAGGCTGAGTCAAGTCCATACACAGGATTCATTCTTAATACTCAGTGCTTCAAACAAAAATAAACGACAGGTTTCCCAGGGCGTAGAGTGAAACATGGGGCATGATTCTCTTTAGGGTTAGGTCTTGAGGGGAGAAGGCGATTGGCAGCAGCTGCCTTTCTGAGTATGTGTTCTGCATCCATAGTGTTTTCCTTTGGCCAAGAAATCTAAAAGACAAATGTCAAAGGCCACTAGAAGGCTAGTCCCCGGATAATGGCCTAGAGATTCATAGGACTCTTTCTACATCACATCCTAAAGCACAGACCCATTCTCCAACACTGTCTTTTCTCTTCCCAAACCTCCGGACCAGAGCCAAACCCCAACCCCACCAACCTTCTTCATCCCTGCACAGCCACGAGCCGTGATCTTGCTTCCAGTCTTTGAAGGTTCGTTCTACCACACTGCTCTGGTTTGGGAAGGAAAGCTCTAACAGATCAGGGCCAGATTAAAAAAAGACTTGAGATCCCAAATCAGGTGTAAAGCAACACTCTTCCAGAACACTGATGACTCCAGGGACTCCCAGACACAGCAATAAAACATCAGTGGCCCCATCTTTGTGTCTGACCTCCCCAGCCAAGATGCCAAGCAAGTCACCCTAATGCTGGCTGTGTCCTTGCCTGAGTCCACTGCAATGTGTGACACTCAGTCTCCTTATCTGCAGCATGGGGAAACAAAACTGGGTGACCTCCAAGGGCACCTCCAATCCAGGATGCTAGGACTTCCTGATTCAGGACAACAAAGAAGTCCAACATGTGTCCAGCTCAAGGAACCAGGTCACATTCTCTGCTGGGGAGGGGCCCCAGACTGGAAGAGCAGGAGTAGCCACCAGGCCACAGCCCTAGTAAGAAAGACGGTGGGAAACAAGCCTTGCCTTGGAGCCTAGTTCCAGCTGGGCTGGCCTCTGCCTGACTTTTGCAAGTGTTCAATTCCTGTGTGTGAGCAAAGACACCAGAATGCAGGGTCAGGAGAGCTTCTTTCTCCCCTACCTAGACCTGAGATGGTTTCTCTCTCTCTCTCTCTCTCTCTCTCTCTCTCTCTCTCTCTCTCTCTCTGGTGTGCGCGTGTGTGCGTGTGCGTGTGCGTGTGCGTGTGTGTGTGTGTTAGAGCTCCCCCCCCTTACTGACCAGCAGATGCATGGTGCTCACAACGATGTACCCTGGAGGCCAACCTGGGTGCATTCCTCCTGGGTAGTGATGGGCAGTCAGCCGCCCTACCCACCCCCATGGCCTCTTACCTGGGGGTTGTCCATGTACCAGAGCAGGCAGTTGGCCTGGGTGTCCAGAATGAAGTACCTCCGCAGAAACTTGCCACTGTTCTCATTCTCCTCGATGTCCAGAAACCCACAGATTCGGTTCTGCCGATCCACATAAGGCATTCCTGGGCTCTGCTCACATCACCCTGCATGGCAAGAAGGAGGTACAGGTGAGGAGGGTGTTGCAGGCTCTACCCCTGGCCCTGTAGGAACCTCTCCCACCTCTTCAAGAAGCTGGGCTGAGATTCTCTCACCAGCTTCCTTCTCTAAGACACCCCAGACCTTGGAAAACTCTATCTAAGCTAGGCTAAGCAGTCATCAAAATCCATTCACACGTACTCAACCAACTTTACCATGTGCCCAGCAATGGTTAGGCACTTTACATACAAAGAAGCTATAAGCCTAGACTTCAGATCAAGGGTCTGCATCCATATTCCAGTTCTGGGCACATTAATTGTATGACCAGAAATTATTTTACCTCTCTGTACCTCAGTTTCTGCACCCGTACAATGGGGATAATCATAGTATGCCTCATAAGACTTTGGTTGAGAATTAAGTGCTCGGTTCACAGGAAGTACTTCATAAACAGTAGCTATTACTATTACTCTGCACAGAGCCTTGTAAAGTGGGTCACAAAAGTGGGTCATAACTCAATTTTATACATGAAGAAATGATCTCAGAAAGGGTATAAATTCCAGTTTAAATACCTGCATAAACCTCTGCCAAGAATTCAGAAAGAACAGCCACTCTAACTTCATAAAGTGCAAGGGGTTCCGAGAGCCTTGAGGCAGGGAACACAGCTGTCACCTCATTTTGCTGTTACTGTTATGAGTTTAATTGTGTCCTCTCAAATTCCATATGCTGAAGTCCTAATCCCTACTATACTACTGCAGAATGTGACTGTATTTGGAGACAAGGTATGTATGTATGTATGTATGTACGTATGTATGTACTGACTGACTGATTGGAGTTGGAGTGCACCCAGGCTGGAGTGCAGTGGCACGCTCACGACCACCGCAGCCTCAACCTGCTGGGTTCAGGCGATCCTTCTGCCTCAACCTTCCAAGTAGCTGGAACTACAGGAATGTGCCACCATGCCTGGCTAGTTTTTTTTATTTATTGTAGAGACGGAGTCTCACTAAGTTGCACAAGCTGATCTTGAACCCCTGGACTCTGACAATCCTCTCACCTCCACCTCCCAAAGTGCTGGGATTACAGGCATGAGCCACCGCACCCGGCCATTTCTGTTTTTAAGACACCTAGGCTGAGGTACTTGGTTACAACAGCCCAAGCACTAATTCACTAATTCAGTACCCAGAAGCCTCTTATAACTGAAGGAAGGAGGAATCAGGAAGAAAGTCTCAGGCTGGATACAGTGGCTTGAGTCTGTAATTCCAGGTACTTGGGAGGCCAAGGCAGGAGAATCACTTGAGGACAGTAGTCAGAGACCAGCATGGGCAACATAGTAAGACTCCATCTCTACCTAAAAAAAAATTTTTTTTAATTAGCTAGGCATAGTGGCATGCACCTGTAATCCCAGCTACTTGGGAGCTTGAGGTGGAAGGATCGATTGAGGCCATGAGTTGGAGGCTGCAGCGAGCCATGATGGCACCACTGCCCTCCAGCCTGGGTGACAGAGCAAGACCTTGTCTCTTAATTAAAAAAAAAAAAAGTCAAGGCATGGTGGCTCATGCCTATAATACCAGCACTTTGGGAGGCCGAGGTGAGAGGACTGCCTGAGCCCATGGGCTGGAGACCAGCCTGGGCAACTTGGCAAGACCTCATCTCTACCAAAGGAAAAAAAAAAAGTCCCAGCCCCTGAGCACTCTCACTGACTCCAGAATAAGGTCTCTGGTAATACGGGATGAGCCACACCTTCAAACCAGCCTCCCTTCTTGCCATAATTTCCTTAGGCATCTCTAAGAGTCACAGGAAAGGGCAGGAGTGCTCTTCTCCCCAAGGAAGAATGAGACCCTTTCAATGAGTAGAAACACCCAATTAGGATGCCCAACACAGTGTAGACGTGGGACAAGGGTCCCACAAGGGTCACAAAGCATCACAGAACATTCAGACTTTCAAGGATGGATCCCACCCACCACTGAGCCCTGATGGACCCCAACAGAGCAAAAGTTTTAACAGCCCAAGCCCACTGAGGTCCTCCATCTACAGAAACACAAAGCTGTGGGCTGACAACTCAGGCCACCCCCATGACAGGACCCTGGGTCGGCAGGTGAGCCACGAAGACATGACAGCCCCAGCTCTGCAGGCCCAAAGCGAGCCAGTCCCCCAGAACAGGGAGACACATTCCCACGAGACCAGGTTAATTCTAGGCATGGTGACTGGTGGTGTGGTATGTTCCCTCCCACCCCCACAAATGGCCTTGCAGGGTTGAACAGGCAGCCCCAAAGAAAATGTGCCCCTATCTGGGCGTGGTAGCATGTGCTTGTAGTCCCAGCTACTCAGGAGGCTGAGGCAGAAGGATAGCCTGAGCCCAGGAGGTAGAGGCTGCAGTGAGCCATGATCATGCCACTGTATTACAGCAGAGTGACACTCCAACTCAAAAAAAAAAAAAAAAAAAGGAACTAAACTCACACATACACACACACATACACACACACGAGCACAAAGATACAAGTGACCAGTGAATTCCCTGATGCAGGTGAGGGCAGACCCAAAGCCCCAGAAGGGCAGAAGACACAGTCATTAGGGAGAGGCATCTAGAGATCCCACAGTTACCTACTGGGAAATGACGGGGGACAGAGGAGTAAAGAAAGCGAGAAACAGGGCAGAGATGAACCAACACAACTAAAAAAGAAGTCAGGAGAGAAGTAAAAGAGGAGGTGAGAAAAGGAGGAAAAGTGGGAAGAGGAGGTTTAAGGAAGACGCAGAGGAGAGGGAAGAAGGAAAACAGTGGAAGTGGAGGAGCACTGCAGGATGGGGGCGCAGGAGGAGTACTCCCACCCAAAGTGGCACCCTGTGGGTTGGCAGGACCCGCAGGCTGACCCGGTGACTTCTTGAGCCAAGCTTCTGTCCCAGCTCCAGTTTCACAGCGGAGTTCATGTGAGTTCCAGAAAGGGAGATGAGCACCAGACGCCACAGGAGGAGCATTAAGTCTTCTAACAAGGAGACAGGCCTGGCGCTGGCTCGGGAGGGCACATCCCTGAGAGAGGTGCAGTTCTCACAGGCGATGGGAGAGCAAGAGTCCCACGAGGAAGGGCTGGATCAGCCTCGCAGGATGGGGACAGAGCTGCCTGGCCAGGATGAGAGAGGTCACCAGCCCCTCGAGAAAACTAGGCAAATCGGCTTGATGCCCACCCAGTCACAGAGACAGAACGTCCAGGGGTGGCAAGACTACTGCTGCTTCTGTGGCACCTCTAAGAGAAAACATGCAAACTGCAGCAGAACAAAGCTGCCTGTCTCTGGGTCCAGTCCATAAGCACGGTGTCTAGCTTCACGGGGATCTCAAATGTCCCCTCAATAGCCTGTAGGGTTACTCATGCCTGTCCTTCCCTCAGGTCAAAGGCTAGAGAGGGTGAGCCTTCTACAGTCCTCCAAAGACCTATTTTTATTGAGGGAACTTCCCCTTGGCGTGGGCCGATAGGTAGGCAAGGACCCTCATGGACCCAAGGGAAAGTTAGAAAGGACGCTGGTTACATCTTCTGAGTGGATCTTTCCCCAGAAAAAAGCAGCTGCTCAGATGTCCTGAGAAGCGGCTGAGTCATAGAGCTCATCAGGAATGTGGGAGGTGGGGGGAAGGATCGGCTGCAGGAGAACGGAGCATTGCACGGAAATGTGGTTATAAGTAGCCGACCCACGCAGAAGTGACACGCTCAAAAGACGGTGCACAAAACACAAACCTCAGGCAGGGTGCGGTGGCTCAAACCTGTAATCCCAGCACTTTGGGAGGCAGAGGTGAGAGGACGGCCTGAGTCCAGGGGTTCGAGACCAGTCTGGGCAACTTGGTAAGACCTAGTCTCTACAATAAATCAAAAAATTAGCTGGGCATGGTAGCGTGCACCTGTAGTTCCAGCTATTTGGAAGGCTGAGGCAGAAGGATCACCTGAGCCCGGCAAGTCAAGGCTGCGGTGGTCGTGAGCATGCCACTCTGAGTGATAGAGTGAAACTCCAACTAAAAAATAAATAAATAAAATAAATCAATCAATAAACTCACAAACCTCAGGTCCTAATCCTTTCACAGTTTCTTCTGATCTCATCTATACACCCCTTGTCACAACAGTTGCTAAGGTTGGGTCCACGGAACCTGCTGCCCCAGGCCTCCAGAGACCCTCTCTCCCCTGTTCAACCACATCACCATCGTTTTCCAAGTTCTCCCGGCTCTCCTTCTTCTTCTTCATGGAGGCCTCTGTGAAAATCAACTCTGCCGCCCTATCCCTAGGTTCCACTAACAACTGGGCAGTGAGAAGAGGGAAGGGAAGTGCTAGCAGCTGGTAGTTACGGGGAGAGGAAGACTGTTGTGGCGGCTCAAGTCTGTAATCCCAGCATTTTGGGAAGCAGAGGCAAGAAGACTGCCTGAGCCCAGGGGTTCGAGACCAGCCTCGGCAACATGACGAGACCTCATCTCTACAATAAATCAAAAAATTAGCCGGGTGTGGTGGCACGCACCTGTAGTTCCAGCTACTTGGAAGGCTGAGGTGGAAGATCACCTGAACCCAAGAGGTAGAGGCTGCAGTGGCCATGAGCATGCCATTGCACTACAGCCAGCCTGGGTGTTAGTGAGACTCCGACTCAGGGGAAAAAAAGGAGGGTGAGGAACTACCTGATGTACATACATATACTGTCATCCCCAAAATTCTCTACCAAGACCAAGGCAAAGCTTCAAAATACTGTAACTCTCACAACACTCCTCCAGTTATTTAGTTTCAAGCTGTTTTCTGACTCCCAAAAATCACTTCTCTTAAATTTCATACGAACCTGAGTTCTCCAGTATAAAAATATGGGGCATAGGGTGACAAATGGTTGTTTATTCCAGGCGTTCCCCATGTAAGCTCTGTGGGCATCTGACAACACTCCCTGACCCCCATCTCCTAAGACAATATGGAAAGTGTTTATGCTGGGTTAGAACACTCAACTCACTTCACCTGGGGTCCAATGCCATAACAGTAACTCTGGCAAGTAGCTT